AGGTCATGCACAGCCATGCACAGCAGGTCACCTGACCATCCAATCCTTCCAGCAGGTTCCAGCACATGCCAAGGTATAGCAGCTACTTCCATGTCATAAAGGCTTAGTCATGTCTCTTGACCAAGCAATGAGCTGGTGCCCTGACACCATCCATAAAGCCAGTGAACACATACCACACCCCCTCAAAATGGGACACATAGTGCACAAGATAATGTGTCTTTACAAAGAGAAGCTGTCCTGGCTGGAGGGGAATGCAAATATTCAGCTGCAGGATAACAAAGTAGCCCATAGTGTAGGAACCATATGTGAAGAGGACTGTGAATTGGTGCAGGTCATCCTTCATGTTGATGTGCACCACATTTCTGCTGTCACATTGGACAGCCAAGGTGGTCCAAGCTACCTGCCAGAGGTAGTGATGACACCCAGCAAGGTCTGGTTTGTCCCAAAGACTGGGGTGTGTCCATGTATGCTCAATAATTCTGTGGCGAGTCAGCTGTGTATCCAGGTGCAGTAGAGTCAAGAACACATACTCTTGCCACTCCCTGGCCACCTCTGGGTACTGTGCTCCCAGCAGCTGGAGCATGCATGGACCCACCTCCTGATTCACATGAGCCACACCATTGCTCACCATGTTGTTTGCTTCTGCTGCCTGCTATCTGCAGTGACAAATGGGACACTGTTGGAGCGATGCCAGACACCAAGGTACAATGCGGACTGGGTGCAAATGGAGCTGGTGTCAAGGGTAGGCCGGGGTTTGGTTGCAAAGAACTCATCCAGGAGTTGCAGGACACAGGCTGATGGGGTGAAACCATGGTGGATGCAGAACACTGGGCAGCCACTGAGCCAGGTGCGAGGCAGTGGAATAGAGGGGTTGAGCTCATACACCCAATCACCCTGGGCCAGAGCAAGGGGGAGCTGGTCAGTTCAGTCAAAAAACCCAGGGTAGAGTTCATCCATCTTCTTATGCACAGCATTATTGCTCCCCAAATGCTGCACAAACTTATTTGGATTTTCCACAAGCACCTGGACAGTGTTTCCCTCAAGTCCCAGCTCAGCAACATGCTGATGCCACCAGGTGTTCTGTGCCACCTTCACTGCAGTGCTGCATCCATGTTGTTTCTTCCATGGAACTCATGCTGATGTGTGTTGGTGTTGGGTTAGGGGCAAACAGGGTGGGTAGGGTTGTGGTTGCGGCTGCGCTGTGCATGGTGGCATGGCATGCACAGGCAGGTGGGCAGAGTGTGGGCAGGTGGGGGAGGGGGGGGCATGGGCTGGGCTGGGAGAGCTGGGCAGCCGGGTCTTGTGCTTGGCGCAGCCACGGCTGCCTGTGCCATGGAGTGGCAGGGGGGGATGGGCAGCAGGCAAGGAGGGGGGGCAGCAGGCGGCAGGAGGGGGGCCTGTGCCCAGCAGGCAGAGAGAGGAGGATGGCTAGCACTGGGGGTGCAGCCACAGGGGAGGGGAGGGCCATTGCTGGGCCTGGACATCATGCTCCATGGGGAGCAGTCTTCTCCAATCACAGGTTGGTCCATCAAGGCTTGATCCAGTCCAGGGAGGGTGTTGACAGTGCCCAGGCTTTGCCCACATCACTCAGGATGAGCACCAACAGATGGCTAGCCCAGGTAGGCCAGATGGTCAGGAGGCACCAAGAGGCAACAAGCACAGGTCTGCAGATGACATACAAACTTTGCCTGCCATTTGCCTCCCTGGCATGTGGCCCTGGTGGAGGTGGGATGACAACCATTGCTGTTGATTAGTTCTTTCTATTTTGGAGACTGAAACATGGCTCCGGATAATTATGGGGTAAAGAAATGGTTCCAATTTGATATTTCCATGAATATGAAATAAATTTGTGCATTGGATACAGACAAAGTGTCCTACACAATGCTGAAAAACACAGCTGAAAAACATGTAATGACAGGCAGGTGGGGAGTGGAGAATTTTCAGTCCCTACCAGTCTGGCAATCAGCATGACGTCACGTTGCCGAGTCGAAGCCGAGCAAGAAACATGATCACCAAATCTTCATAATATATTGTACAGCCTCATCTGATCTTCTGATCCTTTCTTCCTACATCCTGCTTCCTCCCAGCCCAAGACAGCCGTTCAAGCACTAGCCCTCTTTTCCAAATGTTCCCCACTCCCGTTGTCCCCTCCCGCCGTAGGTGCAGGACGCTTGACGAACTTTGTAGCCAGGAACCACAGGGCTGCGAGTATGAGCGCCACTCCGAGTGTGACGAACGCGCCTATGACCCCTGCGATCGGGGGGCTGACCGACCCTGACCCGGAGGATGAAGAAGAAGAGGAAAGTGACGCAGCCTGCGCGGCGAGGGCGATGTTGCACCCATTTGCGGTAGTTTGGTTGCACACGTTGCACCACTGTATGAGGTTGTTGATCGCGTACGGCGCCAGATTGTCGATGAATGTCTGGAGGGGCATGTCCGCTCCTGCCGCGTTGCCGAACATGCTCAGAGGGAGGATATCGCTCCCGTCCATAGCGGTCGCAGAGCCGTTCCTAAAGTTAGCGCGGATCGTGAATCCCGAAGAGGTGTTGCGGACTTCGTACGCGAGCACGGAGGCGTAGTCGACGATATCCTGGTTCGGGACTTGGGTCATGTTGAACAGCGAGAGGAAGGGTTTGTAGGAGACGCCGAGGTACTGGAAACGAACGGGCGAAGAGGTGTTTTGGAATTCGTTCAATGCGGTCAGCATGGGCTGGAGGATCGCTTGCCCAGCGATGTTCCCTATCCCAGCAGGGGTGACGTCGCTGAACACGCCGTACTCGTGGTAGTTTGTCAGAGCGCGCACATGTTCCATCACGTCATTCGAGACCATGGAGTGGAACGTTGCGTTATGAATGTTGTTCACGTTGATATAATCAAAGATGTTGTACATCTGCACATGGTTAGAGATGACAGCTTCAGCTTCACTTGAAGGGAAAGGCACACATTAGCGAGGGAGATGTTCCTATCCGGTCCCAAGATCGGTTCCAAGCTCTGCAAGAAAGCCATATTATCGCTCTGAACCTGCAAGAAGTGGGGGCTGTTATAAAACGCCGTGTTGTGCGCAGCGAACGTGTTGCACGAGGTGAACCCCTCGAGGGTGTAGTCCTTTGTCGGCATGACGGATTGGACGGGGACGTAGACGTACCCTCCTAGGGGGGAAGTGACGGTCGTCCCGTTAGCGAGGGTGATCGTTTGCGCAGTGGTGTTGGCAGGGAACATGCCCTGCGAATAGTAAGTTGCCTTTCGTCCCACCATTCAGACGATATGGGTAGTACGCACCTGCATAAACGCATATGCACTGTCGACGATCACCCCACCCTCTCCGCCCCCGTCCGCACGTACGTCAATCTGCGTCAAACTGGGGATCTGTGGGCTCAGCGCGGGCATGTACGACGCTCCCCCAGGGGTGAGGTAGCGCACACGAACGCCGGTACCGGATTGGAACTCTTGCAGTTCGCCGAGAGGGGTTATGACGGTGTTGGAGGCGGTGTAGCCTGTGGGAGGTTAGTCGGGGCGGGAAGGGCAGAGGGCGTAGAGGGTAGGGAGGAATGAAGAGTACTCACTGGTTGGATCCTGGTAGAAACCCTGTCGATCACCATGCCGGGTGATGAGGACTATGAACTGTCATCAGCTCATACACAAACACCTCAATGAGAGACGCACTAAGACCGATTGGAGCGTCCGTAGCCATTGTTGACTGTCAAAGTGTATGGCGGGAATGAAACAAAGAGAGAACCGCTGTCCAACTTCTCATCCTCCACGCCAGCCTTAAGTACCCCGCATCCTTCCGCGTGCCTCGACATCCAGACCGCGGTGTCGCATGCTGCTCTTCTGAGTACCATATGCAACCAACGCCTCACTCGGTTCTCCCCTACCCTCTCATTCGTTAACCTTCCCTTCCCAATCAATACCTTCTCTTCGTATCCAAACTGAAAATGGGTACTTGCTTTCCTCTTTCTACTCTATCCTGTATGTCCGGGTATACGAATACCGGACGCAGATATAGGCATCTCTCCCCTGATCCATGGCCGACATGAGCGCTAAACACTGGCAGTGGGGGATGACCCTTAAAGTTGGGCCAATCGGGTGGCTCGAGGAAGTTGTTATCACCGACGATGATCAAGCCGATAGTGGCTGTGTCAATAATGGTGCGGTTCTTCCAACGTCTTTATTCTGTAACTGCTTGAATGCAACCAAACATTCGCCGATTGACGGTGGCTATCCTCAAACTCGCTGAATTAATGCTCAGAATCCGTTTCTATTTACCATTAACATCGATCCGCCCTCCAACTGTACTAGATGGACTGGCGACCTCCTAGCTGGCACGCATATGCACACGTGCCTCTTCCAAGCGCACAAATGACTGGACGCCTCCTTCTCAGCTTCTCAGCTTCTCTTCCTCTGACTGGGCACAGAAATTCGGCGCACTATCCCGATCGCGAGCTCTCTAGGCGCCACAACAACTTGCTAGCATTTAAGGCTCAGAATGATGCGAAACACAACCGATCCAGGGCTGAAGAGGTGTTCTGGAACTATCGTACTCCTTCTGCGCTGGGTGCTTCCTGCAGGGATCTCCCGGTTCATGTTGGCGCCTTTCACTCGCTAGATGAGCTGATCTTACGTGCTGTCTCCAACTATCCTCTCTCGATGGACCTGTCTGACTGGACTCCGGAGTTCAACAAATTCAGGTTAATATCGCAGGCTTCCAACATATATGCGCCACTTCTCCTTCCAGATGCGCTATCCTTCCGCTCGACCAACTTTCATCCCCTCCCCTAGAGCGTATACACAAAATACGGGTTCTCCCTATCCGTCTTATCGGCAAACGCGTTCCTCTCCCTCTCCCTTCTGACCTCCTCTTCTCCCCACCCGTGCTCAGCCATCAACCTCTCCAGCTCGCGCTTCTTCTCCCTGTTCAGGCGGATGTTCAGCACCCGCAGGAGGACGCACACCACAATCGTTATGCACAGGAGAACGATGATGGCTGTCTTCCCTGGGATGTAGGCTGGCGCGTCTGATGGCTGGAAGATCTCTGTTCCGATGATATTACCGATCTGCTCATGGTCAGCGTCACCCGAAAGTGTCAATGAGAAAGACGCACGGCAAACGCGACAAGCGTCACGGCGTTAATGGTGACTTTCTTCGTGTGCCCACTGGTGTTACTCGCGTTCCAAGCGTAGATCACACTCAGCGCACTGCCAAATGTCTGCACCAAATAGATCGCAAACAGCAGCAGGCCCTTAATCCCCGAGTTGCTCGCTCCCACCAAGATCGCCGCGCCCACAATGGTAGGCACGACCGCTCCGACAATAGGCATCATCCTGTCTCCCCTCCGGTCGGAGAAGTACCCACACAGCACGGTCGTCACTGCCCCTACCAGTCCTCCCGGCGTGGAGAGTATCAGTGCCTGCTGACTCGTATACCCAAAGCTCTTGATGATGATATTGCTGAAATTGCTCAGCGCGCCATTGGGGATCGACGTCAGCATCGTTACGAGGACGATACACCATGTGCGTGGGTCGAGCACCGCTTCCCACACTTGGTACCGCTTGAACGTCTTATTGTGCGTCCCGCCTTGGTCGTCTCTCACCCGTTCGAGAGCGGCGATCCGTTCTTCCTCGGTGAGGAAACGGGCTGTTACGGGAGAGTCGGGGAGGAAGAGTAGGACCACTATGCCTACCACGATGGCTAGACCGCCGAGCAGGAGGTAGATGATCTTCCATGGTGCGTATGAGCCGGGGTAGAAGGAGATACCGTAAGCGACAAACCCTCCAAAGATAGATGTCAGGCCGTTCTAACCTCTCGGCTCAGTTTCCGCAAGCCGTTGGGATTTGGAAGAAGCGCACCATGAGGTAGAAACAGGCGATCCTCGATGCCTGCTCGTTCTTTCGATAGAACATGCTTATGATCAGGATGAGGATCGGGGCGACGCAGCTCTCTAGCATGCCTAGGATGAACCTCAGTGCGAAGAACGGTCCAAAGTACGGCGCCACAGCGTGAAGCATGACGATCGCGCCCCATACGACGACGTTGCACCCTACAACATCAAACGACTGATAAGATGTCTAGCCTGACACTCTAGGGAAGGACGCACCGAGGTACTTTGCGATCGGCAGCCGCTGGGCGATGTACTGCGTCGGGAACTCCCACACAAGGAAGCCGATATAGAACGCCATGGACACGTTGTTATAGTTCTGGCCCGTGATCGGCAGACCCATAATACTCGCATAGTTCAGTGTTGTCTTATCCCTACTCCTGTTACCAAAGCTCGCTGATCGCTGGACAGGCTTACAGGAACTGCGTAAAGTACACCGCTGCACAAATGGGAGGGATGACCCAGTCGAGCTTGCGCGTCAGCCGCCGGTTGTACTCCTCATCGAAGACGTATTGCCGTCTCGTCCCGACCAGCTTCAGGGCATCGTCACCGTCGCTGACTGAGCCGGCGTCTTCGACCACGGGCTCGAAGGCCTCGTCTGCCTCGACTTTCGAAGTTGTCTTTTCGGGGAGAGACATGGGAAGTACAGATCAAGGAAGAGGCTTCGTGCTGCCTTGCCACGGAGAAGAATGATACTTTAGTAGATAGCCGTATCTCTACCATTTGACCGGGAGACGATAGCACATCTTACGAAGCCTGAACACTTCTTCCGTATCATTACTTGGGACGAACGAGGGGCGGGAGATTCTCAGCTTCGGCACGATCGTACCAGAGGCTGTATATCCTAGATGTGAGTGACGTTTAGCGCACCAGTCATGGGTCTTGTTGATAGAAGAAGGAAGCACAGTACACATGGACATCAAGTATTGGCGGAAACCCACAGGATCAGGCACCGAAGTCCCCATGCTTCCTTTTGCGATATTCTCAATGAAACATTGAGTCGTCTTTTGTACTCTATACCTCCCTATGAGGCGTCGGAGTAAGTCCGCTGGAGGGGGAGTAGATAGTAGCAGTTCGAGTTTTGTAGAGGCTAGTTCGCAAGTGTAGCATCGGTAGAAATCGATGTTAGTTTCGAAGAGATGACGAGTTCAAAGACGTATTCGTAGTCAGTTCCTTATTCCGAACCAAGGGGGCAAAGGTGCGCAAGACTGATAAGGGGAAGGGCTTTCGAATGTCCTATTGTTCGAATCGGAGAGTCAGGTCTAACTCGAGGGAACCGGGGGGGTTCTAGGTTCGGAGATCAGTTCAAAGGATGGACAAGTGTTCGGATGGGTCGATATGAGAACGAAGGGGGGAACAATGAGTGACTTGTTAGTTAAAGGTTCAGCATAGGGAAAAAGGGGAGACCGAAGTACTCGAATCCTCCCTATATACGTTCGGAGGCGTTTCGGACTTCGGACTAACTATGCTACCTAGTCAATGATTACCTAAAGCTGTGTATAGGGTCCGTTCCTCTTGCTCGAAATTAGAATGTGCAGTACACTTTGATAGAACATAAAGCGAAAATCCATTGACATTGTCCCGATACGTAATACACGTGGAATGACTGACTAGGGAGGGGCATAGATGCAGGGAGTGAGTAGGTGCAGGATGACAGGAATACAGTGATAGAATGGTATCGCTAAGGAATGTGCATATGCACTTTAGGGGTATCCAATGATTGTCGACGTAGCGGCGACGGGATAAAATGATTGCTCGTATTCGTATTGCGCCGCCGAGTACTCGCCATGGGAGTCCACAGAGGGCTCGGGCGTCGGGCCTGTAAACTCGATGTCTGGCATCATTCTTACAGATGAAGCCTGGCTGTCAATCGAAGACCGCTCCAACGGTTCTTCCTGGACGACCAGGGCGCCTTCATCATCAACCGTTAACGAGAATCGCCGTTCTTCCACGGCAGGAGTGTCCGCCGTCGGAGTTGCTAGCTCGGTGTCTGCGGCGGATTCAGGCTCGACTTCATCAGGCTCGTTGAAGATCCAATGATACTGCAAGATGCACTGCTTGACAATACCTGTCGCTGGGCCGAGCACGCCAAACACTTGGAAGATTGGAATCTGTGACACGTTGGGCAACCGACATAGTGTTGGTGCCCATACAGTCGCAAGGTTGTCGGCATGCATCTGGTTTTGATCTTCATAATCTGTCACTCTGAAGATGACGTCAGTTATCCGTCAAATAATGCAGGGATAGGTGCTTACTTGTACAAGTGCTCTGCAAGTCCGCGCAGGCACAGGAAGTTCGCACGGGGAAGGCCTACAACCAGGTCTTGAATTCGGAACATTCGCGCATTATAGTCCTCGATTTCTGCACGTGAACGTCAATAACGGAGTCGAATGGCCCGTGATAACAACACTTACTCAAGGCCTGCTCAAAGTCCTTCAGCAGCGTGGCCGGCAAGATGGATTCCGGGAGATCGCGGAACCATTGCTTGATCGCATCACAAATAGCATATATATCGGTGTACTCATCGACAACCAACTCAAAGGGCAAGCCTGAAATGATTCAACATCTTTCCTAGGGAGACTGATGCTTTACTCACCCTTATCGATGTTGTTTCTAATACTCTCAATCACTGCTCTCGAGCCGGAGATGCGATAGATTCCGGTCTCTGTAAGACCTCGGCGCTCGACTTCTTCGATGAGCTGACTAATGATTAATGGCATGCCGCGATCAGTGAGATGGCTGTCTCCGCGCTCGAGCAATGTCGTCAGGTTGACACCGTATACTTCAGCAGAAATGAGCCACGGGACTTGATAGCAAATGTAAAAATGCTTACCAGACTTAGGATGCTGAGATGGCGGCCGTGCCTGCCAATCAGAATTCTCCAGATCCAACTTTGGCGCCTGGGCTTCCATCAGAGAACGCCGTGCTGCTGAGATTTGAGCAGCCCTAGTGATGGCGCTGATCCATTGCTCTCGATCAATGGGACTGGTGGCTTGTAGAACGTATCTACCACCGTCCTCCGTCTCCACCGCAAAGGTGAAGGATCGCACCTCATTGGGCAAAACGCGAACGGTAGCATGGACAAGGCTGAGAGAAAGAGCAGGTTTGGAGGGAGCTGAGAAGTCCAATTCCGGCAGACTCTTGTCGGCATAGCTGAGGTCAGGCTTGTCCGTACCGAAGACTGTAGACAGTGGTCGCACGACCCGGAAGAAGGCTGTCACACTACGGCCCTTCTTATGGCCCGGCTTTACCGGCTTTTTTGGCTGCGTTGATAGGCGATTGGCATCTGTCTCCTTCTTCCCGAGCTTCTCCTTGTCCGCACGGATATCACGAGCAAGGCGATCCCGAACTTGGCGATCCCGTTTTAATTTGTCGAGCTGCACGGTTATCGTGCGAACAAACGGCCGCATCTTGGACTGTGCCTTGCTCAAAGACATGGCTTGCTGTTGTTCTCTCCACGCTTCGTCCTTCAACTGACGTACATCCTTGGGAGGCCAGTCTTCGGATTCTGCCTCCATGTTGCGCAAGCGAAACAGATCTACAGAGGGATCGTGGGCCGGACCACGCAGAGGAGAAACGGTCAGAAGAACTTGGGACAGCAAATCGTCCAGGGCTCTCCGCTTTTTCAGGTTGATCAAGGGTGACGTCACTTTCGTGAAGGTGGTTGAATTCGAAGGAGCCAACAGCTCAAGCATCCGCTCCAGCACCCAGCCAAGATCTACAGTCATGATGGGTGATGTTTGGCGCATGCCCGTTTGCGGCGAGGTGGAGAGCAGACTGTTCAGAGTTTCTCCCGACGAACCACGGATTTGAGCGACACCCTGCCATGCTCTCGTAAAGAATCGGCTTTCCGGTGTCAGCAGAGCAGCGGTTATTGCGCCTTCCACAAATGAGCGCATGGGCGAAAACTGTGCCACGGTGCCCATACGAGCACGGCATATATCGATGGATCGCAGAAGCATACTCATCCGTTGTTGGCGAGCGACCGGACCGAGGCCTGGTTCTGCAACTTTCCATGCCAGCCATCGCTGCATTTGATAGTGGCCACAGAGCACTTGCCGGATCCGATCGGGAAGGAGTTGAGACAGAGGAGAGAGTGAGGTTGGAGAGAGCGAGGCAGCAGCATCCGTGAACGTAAGGAAAGAACATATGTTTTGAATGGGGACATCCTCAGGAACCGCAGGAGCCGAATCACGAGTTTGGAAAAAGGCTAGACGGTCTGCTAGCTGGACTTCAAAAATGTCGGCAACGGCGATAAGATCCTAAAGTTAGTGTCAGCACAACTTGGCCACGTCTTCCACGTTGCACGTACTTGACGAGTGACATCCGCAAAGAGAGCTGCAGCAATGTCCTCAAGTTGATTGACCAGTCCTTCAGGCCGTAGCACGTTAAGGTCAGGCACCGCAGTATCCAACCCACCCTGGCCATGCCCGATTGGTCGTTGCACCTTGTCACTCGCTCTTGCTGGGGTGCGAATGGATTTATCCCACACGCGATGTACAACGCTGTGCTTGAAGCCAATGTTGTCCCCATCCTCAGGTTCAGCAGCGAGGAAGTCGGCAAGCTTGTGGGCTAGAGCGGGATTCTCTCGAGCTTCCTGAGCACCATCGCCGATAGTGAGCCATTCTTCGAGCGCCTGAAGAACGCCGAATCTGACACGAGAAACGAGGAGGGTGCGTGGCCAGGGCAAGACAGCGGAGGGCATCGGCGAATCAAAGCGTTTCTTCAACATGTCGAACAGGTCTGTCCCGCTGACCCACGTCTTCCTCCATGTCCAGAAGACTCGTTTGGCATCGTCTACATCAACAGAGACTTTCTCCTTCTTGCCAACGACACCAAGGTCGTCCCTAACAGCCGGAAGATCAAGCTCCAAATCCTCCCCGACGATAAGCAGGTCGATGAGTCTGTCAAGGGTTGCCCCAACTAGAACTGCGCGCTTCACAGGTGCCGCCGGGGGAGGTAGGGAAGACCGACGTGAAAGAGTGGTGGTCCTCGACAATGTCGTCACGGTGCTGATGCGCTTGTCAACCTTCGAAGTCGGAGGTGAGTTAGGGATGCTGAAGTTGCTAGGGAGGGCGAGGGAAGGCGGTCGTGTGATGGACTGACCGCCCGTACTATCGGCAGGAACGAAGCGGACCAAGAGCTCTCCCTCCATCAGACGAACCAAGGTTGCGTCATCGTCCGATGCCGGTGTGGGGAAGGACCCCTCAGGAAACTGCAGCGGAGAAAGTAGGAAAGACGAGGTCGCATACAGAGGGCGAGGGGTCCAGAAGTGTTCAGTTATGCGAGTGACACTTCTCGGCTGCGCGGCCAAGGAAGGAGCTAGGAAAGAGGAGATGCTGCAACCATCATCAGTACCAATCACTTTCCTGGAGAACGGATCCATACGTTTGGTACGTGACATCAGACTCCCCAGCCAGTTCTTTCCAGAACAGGATCAGAGCGCCCACATCGCCATTTTCTTCCAGGTCGGATCCCTCCTTCGTCCAGGTGCTCCACCTTTCTTGGACAGTCTCCCAAACGTGCTTCATCTCCCTCACGCCCCACCTCCCATCTTCCTTCCCCACGCTCTCGAGGGGCGTCCTCAATTCCCTCCTCCCGCCCCTCCACACCCCCTTGCCATCCTCTTCACCAAACATGACATCCTGGACGACATCTGCGAATCCCTCGAGCCTCGCCACCGGGGCAGACCCAAGCGCGCGGCGGATAGCCTCAGCAGCGGCGTACCCCGGTCCAGCTCTCAGCACTTCCACCCAGCCCTGGACAGCAGCCCGACGCGTCTCGCGCGAGCGACTCTCAACAAGTACATGGAGCATGACCAGCCTCGTAACCGGGTGCAAGAGCTCGTCATACCCCTCAGGGGCGATTGCGAGCATCCAAGGGTCCATCTGCTTGCCGAAGAAAGAGGACGGAGTGAAAGGGGAAGGGAAAAGTTCAGCGTGGTACACCTTGAGGGAATCGGCAACAGCCTTAGGCGGGAGGGAGAGGAACGTCTCCCTATCCATACCGAACCGGAGTTTCCGCTCCATCATCTCCGACACCGGGTGCTGTAGTCCCTGCCGAGGGAGCACCGGCTCCTCCCCAGCAAGCGTCTCACACATCTCCCTTCCCCAAACAGTCAACATCGCCCGCCTAAGCCGACGTACCGCTTCCTCCCTCTCGCTCCCCTCCTCCGTGCTCTCCACACGCTTATCGATCTCTGTCCAGAACTCGCCGCCCCACAACCGGGGCAGGAGCGCCATAGCCGCAAGGACGAACTCGTCTTGCGTGTGCTCGACAGGCGGGTCGTTCTCCGGAAAATCGCCTTGCTCATCATCCGGCAAAGTGATCTCATGCGGTTCAAGCGGCAAGAACGGATCCAGCTTGATGATGGCCGGTAAAGAGGGCGGCAAGGAGATGATCGTATCCCTCTTCCTCTCCAAAAAGCTGCGGAACACACATTCGTGCGCGATCGCCTCGCCCGTTCCCTCCCAGGCGTCTTCCCCGTCGTCGTCAGAAGGAGAACGACGCCATTCGGGGTGCCGCGCGCGACCCCAGTAAGCGCGTTTGCGCACTTTGGGCCCGTTGGGACTGGGACCGGCGCTGATAGGCGCAGAAGCTAAGGGAGGGGAAGGCCGTTCGTCGACCGCTACCAGCGTGCGCGGGAAATGCGCTTCCACAGCGGGCTGACGATCACTCGGGACCTAAAGAACCGCATCAGCTGCACTCCCAGCCGGACAGAAACAGAAACAGAGACGTTACCTTGTAGAAAAGGACTTTGCTCCCCTTCAGACTCGCTTTATACACCTTCCACTCCCCCTTCCCCTTCTTCTCCTCGGGCATAAGCCCCATTCCGCTCCCACTTGGGAAAAGAGTGTTCCTCTGCCTAGCCTGAGCAGCGTACTGCGCAAGGGCGGAATCGATTGTCGGGCTAAGGAGGGCGAGGAACGGAGTTAGCTCTTCTTTCTCTTTCTCTTTCTCTTTCTCCTTCTCTTTCTCCTTATCCTTGTCTTTGTTGTACTCCTTGCCAGGCTCGCGGTCTCGGTCTTTCCCTTTCTCCTTCAGGGGCGAAGCAGCACGCGCGATGCCTTGGGGGATACTAGGCACGGGGGGTATGCTGACCTTTTCCCTCTCCCTCTCTCTTTCCCTCTCGCGCTCACGCTCGCGAACAGGTTCTCTCCAAGTGCCGGAAAACGACCCTGAGGGAAGAGAAGGGATCGTCGCTTCCCTATTCCCCCTCCCCTCCCTCCCATCTCTACCGCTGCCGTCTCTCGCATCACGTACATCCTTCTCCCTGCCATCCCTGCCATCCCTCCCCTCCCTCCCCCATCCAAAGCCCGACACGCTCCCCGTCAACATAACCGGCAGCGGAGGAACAGGCGGCACGTTCCCCCCCGCCCCCCTCTCCCGGTCCATGCTCGGTCTTCCCCTATCTCTATCCCTGTCCCTATCCTTGCTAGGTGACGTCCCCGGCGAACCGAGCGAAACGCGAGACTCGGAGATACTCCTCCCTTTAGAGCCTAAGGAGCTGGCGCGCGACCGGGGGAGGTGGAGGGAGGGGTTGCTCCCGCTTGCGCTGAGGGGTGCCGGGTGGGGGTGAGGGTGGGGGTGGGAGTGAGGGTCGAGGGGGGAGACGCTGGGGAATGGGATGACCCCGGATGTTGTTGGGGAGAGGGAGAGTTTGGGGCTGGGCTGACGGTTTCCATGCTGGTGCTGGTGCTCTCCTCCCACTCCCACCCCTACTGCCATCCCCGCGCCTATCATCCCTCCCCCTCCCGCAGGAGCAGAAACAGGAGAAGCAGGAGCAACATAGTACTCCATACTCCTCTTTCCCGGGCTGGTGGACAACATTATCCCCCCGGGGGAGATAGGTGATACCGGCTGAGGGGTTGCGAGCCTAGGCGGGCCCTGATGTTGCTGCTGCTGCTGCTGTTGGTGCAGAGGGGGGGTGACGGGGCCTCGCAGGGGTGTGGGGGTGGAGTATGACGTCCCTAGTGGGGAGGGCAGGGGCTGGGAATGGGCTGAAAAGGGCGAAGGGGAGGGGAAGTAGGATGCTGATGCTGATGCTGGTACTGACGTGGTGGGGGAGGGATATGATGGCTGGTGTGTGTGCTGGGAGTGGGAGGAAGGGCCGGTGCCAAATGTGAAGCTCGCAGCGCTGGGCGAGTTTGGCGAGGCATACAACCCCCGTTCGCGGTAGGCGTATATCTTCTCCCTTTCCCTCTCTTTCTCCCTCTCCCTCTCCTTCTCCTTCTGGCTCTCGCGCGCTCGTGCATGCGCTTGATGTTCCTCCCTCGGGTGTTCCTGCTCCTGAGAACGCTCCTTTCCCCCTCCTAAGAACCTCGAGAAATCGTCCATGCTCCTACTCCACGGTTTATGCGCGATACTCCTCAAGTCCCCCAGGCCTCCCGCCCCAGCGCTAGAAGTCCCA